AGCTGCTTGTTTTACATTAAACCTGCTAATGAGCTTATTTGCATACATGAGTTTTTCAAATATTTCACAATCTTTAATAATAAAAATTTTTCTTCCTGTAAGTCCAGAGCAGATTTGGACCCAATAAGCTCTGGGCTGAAGTCAACGGGGAGGAAACATATCTTCTGAAATACCATATGCTTGAACTGGGAACAAAAATGGCCATAACTTTATTGTTTGTTTGCTAGTTTCACATAAAGCAATAAAATATGCAGACATGCTAGCCACTACAAGGGGGCTTAACCCTGCCAAATTACTGGCAAACAGCTCAAAAAGGTTTTAATGCTAAGCATGTTTTAAGTTTGCTTTTTCAAGAAAGTTTTTTTTTAAAAAAAAGATTTTACTGATGTATATAATATTGCATTGTTTGTGTCTTGTTTGTACACAGGTAGTGTACAGTGTACTGGACTGTACAATGTACTCACAACACACACATACACAATACAATGTATTGATAAAGTAAGACACAGAAAACCTAGCATTCTATAAATAAAACTTATGTAAGAGCTAGAACCAGTTTTGAGGGGAGGGGCAGGAATATTAAAACACAAGGCAACAGACTTTCTTTTTTAAAAAAGGATGGGACTAGGATAATTGGGAAAGGACAGGAAAAAGTGTAAGTCTGAATAGGGTGCTGTGAAGGAAACAAAACTCAGGAGACAGATCTTATAAAACAGTTATGCATTCTAAGACTTCACTCTGCCTTCTCCCAAGAATTTTGATTGGGCAGTGCTGGGTGGGGTAAGATTGCAGCTCCCCTCTCCCTATCCTGCCGTTTTTGTTATATGGTGATGTAATCATTGCAACAGTTTAGAGATGGCCTGCCTGGATTTCTGAGGGACTGTTTTGCACTACAAATAATGAATGGCACTATTTAGCAGGAAGAAACTCCAATGAAAATCCTCGTTATTACATATTTTACCTGGTTTTTGTATATATTTTAAAATTTTAAATATGGATACTTTATGATGGCCTATATTTGTAATTCCTAATACAGTGGTACCTCGGGTTACATACGCTTCAGGTTACATACGCTTCAGGTTACAGACTCCGCTAACCCAGAAATAGTGCTTCAGGTTAAGAACTTTGCTTCAGGATGAGAACAGAAATTGTGCTCCGGTGGCCCGGCAGCAGCAGAAGGCCCCATTAGCTAAAGTGGTGCTTCAGGTTAAGAACAGTTTCAGGTTAAGTATGGACCTCCGGAACGAATTAAGTACTTAACCCAAGGTACCACTATAAAGGTTTGGCAGAGTAAAAGCACTACAGATCAGTACAAATCAATCCAGGAAGACACAACCCACTCTGTAGTGATTGGAGACTTCCTCAACCCAATCTGGATCAGGATGCGGATCAGTTCAGAATTGAATCTGGTGCACCGCTCTAATTTGCAATAACCTGTGCAGCCAAACATATCTTAAAGATATAGCTCTTCCTGGAGGAATATATTTCTTCCCCCCATGAGTTCCTGCATTTTTTTGTGGGGGAGGGGAATCCCCTGGCATTGGAGTCTCACTAAGGGAAGAGGGACAGTAGTCTGGATATTTAGAAGTCATTCCCTTTGGGCCAAGTGATCAACTTGATAACTTCCTCAATACAGAAAGGCTTCCTCATAAAGCTGTTTCCTGCCCCAGAGAAGACAGAGAAATATTTTTGCTCTACTGAAACTTAAAAACAACAACAACACAGAATTCAGAGTATTGTTCCCATCCCATCCCACCAAACTCCCACTCTAGTGAAGTGCTCCAAGAACTCTTGGCAGAACTGACTCACAAGAAACCACCCAGCGCATTTTACGTTTGCATTCTAGTGATGGGCCAGCTCTTGGCCCTTAACACAGCCGGCCAGCTCTTGGCCCTTAACACAGCCGGCCAGCTCTTGGCCCTTAACACAGCCTGGGACGGGTTAACGAAAATGAAGCTGTTAAGGAGTATTATACCTCACCATATAATGGATTTGGATGGGGTGGGGATTCAGCTTCAAGGTCTTGCAACCCTAATTATTCCTTTGTTTTAGGCCCTGGAATTAGGGGTAGCAAGTACCAGGCAACTTCCTTTTCCCCTTTTCTTTTTCAACATATCTCCCAAGCTGAGGGTTGTGCCTGCATTGCTCTCTAATGTCAGCACTCTGAGACCTTGTTCTGTTATCTAGCATGTCCGTGTGCAGGGTATTGGCTTTTCTTACAAGGGTAATGATATAATTAAACTGTAGTAGTTTTAGTTAACTTTTGGTTACACATTGGTATCATGTTCAGTCAATGACTCTTGTGATTGCAGTCAAGTAGAAACTTCTTAAGTGAAACAGAATACACTATTTTGTTCCCTTTCATCAAAAGGCAATTGTTTTTGCAATTCTGGTATATCTTGTCAGAGCAGTTGTCAGATATTCTGCTCAGGAGACTTGGTTCCTATCAATACTGCACTACACATGTGCATTAAACTCATACTTTTATACCTTTAGGCCTGTCTATCCCAAAGTCTCTTGTGGACTTGAGTTTTTTGAGGATTTCTTAAATATTGTATCAGAAATCCCCAGGCCCTCTCAAGGAACTTTAGTTCCCTGGGAAGAAGAGTTCCTAGTTGCCAAAATACAATGCTAATCACTGAAGAATTTTTTGGCTGTGAAAATAGAACAACTGCTCCAAAGTAACACCTATGCCTTAATGTTCCTTCAGTGGAAGGATATCTGCTTCCACAATAGCGCAGCTTCTCCCGCACATCTTTTCTAGGGGCTTCCCCAATACTATGGAAAAGATTTGGACTGGGCGCAGGGTGAAGTCCTGTTGTGCAAGCATAATGGGTTAGCTGGGTTAGGATAGGTTAGGAACCATAATTCCATTATCAGGTTTAGGGATGACCAAAAAGGATACCATGACTGATGTGATTGAAACATATTCAGAAATCCAACAATATGTATTTCTCCTGCCTACCAGGGTGCCTAACACCATGTCTGTGTCAGAGCGGAGCCTGGGGCAGATTTAAATGGGTATGAATAATCCATTTCATCCAAGGACCCAGGAAAATTAGTCACCACCATGCACACAAAACTACTTTGCCCAGAGATTGAACATTTTAGACTGCTTGGTCTAAAACATGCAGTGAAATCCAGAGAGGGTTTCTTCAGCCAGAACCGCCTTAAGACTGGATGAGACTACACCTTCCTCTATGGAGGCATTGGCTGTTCATTGGCTTACTTGGCCAAGCCTCCTCTGGCTGCCTTAATGAATGGCGGTGCCTTAACTGCAGCGCTTAAAGCACCATGGAGCCTAGACTAAACTTCCATGATGGCAAAACATTTTCTGCCTTACCACCATGGTATGCATACAAGTATTATAGATCCTATGGATGTATGTGCATGTTTGCTTGCTTTCTGAGATCATGCTGCCCAACCCTTTCCAGATTCTCTTCCAAGGTAGGCCCACAAATGTGCTTTGCAGGAGTCCAATAATAACATGAATAGTCTCATAATATTTTACATGCCATTTGCATTGCTTTATTGGATTGAGAGAACTAGAAGAACTTTTATTTTCAGAATCCTGGTTTTATTCATCAAAATACAAAAATATTGAAAAACAAAGTATGAAAAATTCTGTTTCACACGGAAACTAAAACAGTGCCTATATAACGCATATGTGTCTGCCAACAGCATTCTGTAAATAAGACCTAAGGCGTTTTTGCAATTTTTGCATAAAGTGTGAAGAGCTTTACAGCTGAGTTTAAATGGTAGCTGTGAGGCTTACTTGACAGTCTTGACCAAGTGATTACTTCTCAGTCTCGCCACCCTCAGTTTCTGTGGAAATAAAATGGGTAAAAGACCATTTACCCTGCCTTGATCTTATTGGAGGAAGGATAGGATATAAATGTGACAAAGGTTTATAATATTTTCTGTACTGTGCAGAACTTACAACAATATGTAAATAGTGGGACTTTCAGAATGCTCTGTCAGTGAGCTTTAGATTTAGCTTCTCTTCTGCCTAGTCTTTTTCTTCTCACATTCTCAAGAGCTGTGCTTTTGCATACATGCATATTTTATCTGTATATTTCCCATTATGTTTTTGATATGTAAAGCCACATGGTGGCAGTCTTGAGAATGGAATTTGTTTGTTCTGATTGCTAATCTGTCTTCCTTAACTTTCTACAATCTTATTATTAGAATTTAAGCCTACCTCATACTCTGACACTGTACTTGGTATTTGCCCAAGAACAAAAACAACAATAAAAAACCCCCCACAAAACCACAAATAAATAAATGGTCTTGCTGAGGCTGAGTTTTTAAGTAATGTATTAATGCAAAATATTTCTTATATAATCTTTCTCATATATTTCCCATTATAGTGTTTGAAATAATTAATTACAAGTTCTATTTTGTATTTAAAAAACCCAGGTGGCTTGAATATGAGCTTCCTTTAAAATGGTCCAGGATGCCCTATGCAATGGTTCTCTTTTGAAGGACAGAGAGTAGCCCTGCGGTAGTCTTGTTTATGCTAGGAGATGGCCCAAGGCTATCTCAGTAGTGGACTTGAAGTTGCAGAATATGTTCTACAGTGCATCACCCTGCTGACTTTTAGAAAAATATGGAAGCACTTGTTTTTATTTATGTATTCAGTTGACATACTACCTAAAGTGTTCTGAAAGCGTTTGACAATAACATAAGTATTAAATTCCATTGTGCAGCATTCATTCAATGTAACAAATAAAATCTGAAGAAAAGCCAGCTTTCTGTTTCCACACATTTGTTGTTTTCAGGTAGTTTAATACCGCTTTGAATACTTGTAACATGATTTAGTACTTTTACTGGTTTTTTAATTATCTGTTTTGTGAGTCACTGTCAATAAGGCAGGAGATATATTAATAACTATTCCTTGTCTGAGTGTTGCAAACTCCAGCTCATATTTATGACCAGTTATTCATTATAGCATTTATCTTTCAATGTGTGTTACTTTTTTCTTTCTTTCTCGTTTGCAGGAAGAACAGGACCACCATCATCCACAGCTATAGCTGGCACCAGTCAACCTGCCATCACCAAGACCACATCCGTTCTTCAAGATGGTGTCATCGTCACAACTGCAGCTGGAAACCCACTACATAGCCAGCTCCCCCTTGGGAATGACTTTCCTTTTGTTGGTCATGAACATACTCTGCATTTTCCACAGAACAGCACTTCAAACAACAACCTTCCGCACTCTTTGAATCCAAACCTCTTTAGTTCACTACCTATCTCTTTGCCAGTGAATCAGCAGCACCTCCTAAACCAGAATCTATTAAATATACTGCAGCCTTCAGCAGGAGAAGGCAAGTCTGAGGTCACCCTCAATCCTTTAGGTATTCTCAACCCAAATGTAAATGCTGCTTTAGCTTTGCTCTCCGGTGATGTGGATGGGCAGGTGCTGCAACCTGTTCATTTCCAGCTGCTAGCAGCTCTTCTACAGAACCAAGCCCAAACAGCTGCCATGTTCCCCTTAGCACCTTTCAATCTGTCCATCTCAGATCTGTTACAGCAACAGCAACACAATCCTGTACCCTCAGTAACACAGATGACAGCCCCACCACCAGATCACTTGCTTAGCAGTCAGTCAGATACCAACAGAGCTGATACCCTGTTAACCAGTTCACTGGGAAACCCTTTCCCAAGCTTTTCAGGCACAGACACTACTTCAAACCCCCTGCTCCTTCCAGCTGTCACTGGGGCCTCAGGATTAATGCCCTTGAATCCCCAGCTGCTGGGTGGTGTTCTGAACTCTACATCGGGCAACCCTGCTAATCATCCAGAGGTTTCCATAGCAACCTCCTCCCAGGCTACCACTACCACAGCCACTACATCATCAGCAGTGGCAGCACTGTCTGTCTCAACACTTGGTGGGACAGCAGTGGTGTCAATGGCAGAAACATTGCTGAGCATATCTAATAATGCTGGGAGTACATCTGGTTCAGCTAAACTCAACAGTAACTCTGTGGTGCCACAGCTACTTAACCCTCTACTGGGGACAGGTCTACTTGGTAAGTTAAATATTTTCACAGATTTTAAAAAAGGAAAAAAAATGGTGGTGGGTGGGAACTTCTTTTTTCAACCTTTTTTTCAAAACTCCATTTCATTGCACTTTTTCCCTAAAACGTTTATGCTATGTTAACTTGCTTAACCATTCCAGTGAAAGACTGCAAATATAATTGACAGACATTTTTAAACAGTATTTTTAAAACCCTATTATTTAGAAAGTATGATGCCATCAAAATTCAACCAACCAATTGGAATGGCTTTTACTTTTTTCAAATCTCATAGATGCATCTTTGGGATGCAGCATTTTTTTAATAGATAAAGATATAGATACAGATATATTCAAGGCATCACAGGGTTAGTATGAGTAGCTGTGCAATAGATAAGCTTCCAAGTCCATCTGAATTAAAAATTAATCATCATCAATGTGTCCAATCCCTAGATTATGATGACACAGTATATATAAAGCACTCAGAGTACAGTCTTCCACAGGTTCAAGGCAATAAGCTGCCCTTCTAGCACTCTACACTTAAGTTCCCATGCTTCTTGGATTCTCATTTTTTGGTAAGAAACCAATGGTTTCTAAACAACTTGACAAACATCAATAGAAAGTTTAATTCCAGTTCACATGTTTAAATCTAAGAGAGTAATATCCTAGATTTTCACATGAGGATTTTCACATTTATTGGGAAGTCCTTCATTGGAACACGACTGTACAACAGTGATATAAATGTGTGAAGTGGGCCTGAGAGTCTGCCAAATTCTTGTGCTTCCTTTATGAATATCCCTACCTGGTTGTGTGTGTTTGTGTGTGTGTATGTTCAGTGAATTGCTGCTAATAAAACATAGATAGAAGTATTATGTGCAAGCATTTTTCTGATAAACACAGACCTAACTTGCTAAGAACTTGTGATAAAATTTGTATTCTGTGCCAGATTTGTTGCTTATTCATAATACTTGTGCATTTTGTGCCAAATTGCTTGTGTCTTCTAAGTGTATGCTCTAGCATTACATAGGTGCCTGTAAAATAGGCTGGTGTGCAAAGGATTGTGCGCAGAGCTTCCATACACCTACCAGGTTTTCTCACGTCCACGTAGTCCTCTATTTCTGTTGTATTGTAGCTTTTGATGCAACATAAAGTAGTGTGGTCAGAGAAGGAAATGGAGCAAGCCTCATGCAAAGGTACATATGTATGGGGGACTTTTGGATCCCATTCATAAAAATTAACCTCGCTTGCATCAACTAAGTATTATGAGATTCTAGCTTCTAGTTTTCCTTAGCTGGTTACTGCTTTAAAAAAAAGAAGTGTAAAAGTTTCATTCATTTGCAAAGGTCTTGTAAAAAATAAGTCACTTAAATGTAAACAGTCTCTATAATTTGTGCCGTTATTGGTTTACAAAGTTTTATTACAGTATTAGTAGTAGGAATGTTAAACATTTAAATAGGATTTTTTTAAAAAATATTGTTAACAAGAGAGTACTTAAATGACTGTTTAATAAGCTGTAGAATATGTTGCTATTTAAGAAACGCCATAGAAGTTGCATTTAGTATATGCAAGGCGAATCCAGAGTTAGACTTCATTGTAAGCAAGACTGCTGGCTGCGAAAGAAATCTATACCTTGCATATTAGTTCCCTGAAATATTGATTCACTGAAGGGTTGGGGGGGGGGTTTATTCCACATCTTGTCACTAAGTGGTAAAATATGACCCATGTGTTACACCTTCAGAAAATTGTTGACTTAAATATCTATACGTTTGGAATTGCAGGTGACATGTCATCAATAAATACTACCCTTAATAATCACCAACTGACGCATCTACAGTCACTGTTCAACAACAATCAAATGTTTCCATCAAATCAGCAACAGCAGCTTCTTCAAGGCTATCAGAATCTCCAAGGCTTTCAAGGACAGACCCCCATTCCTGGGCCACCTAACAACTCAAACCCTATGGCTTGTCTGTTCCAAAATTTCCAGGTAGAAGTTGGTTTGTTCTTTCAAGTTTTCCATTAAAAATAATACAAATTCCTATACTGCTTCAGTAGTTTATTGCGGATTTTAAAGCAATATCTGTATGAAGTTAAATCATCCCATTTTATTATCTCAGTACTTTAACATCCGTTGATTATTCTTAGACTGTTACATTGTGAACTTTTCACTTCTCATAAGTTACAAGGAAAAACTGCGGTACTGCTCTTCAGAATGGCAATGGAAAAGTATTTCTCTGCAATTCTTGGACCTGGTGTTACATTTATTTATCAATGTTTAAGTTTAGAAGACTTGCATTGACTTAAGTATTCTGAAACAAATCCCTGTAAATGCATTTTTAAAATATCTTCCCTGTCATTGCTATCTGCGTGCATAAGTTAAGCTAAGAAAATGACAGAAAATATCAGCGGCTACTAGATCATAAAAGAGAGCTACCTTGTGCAGTAACATCATTATAGTACTTCCAAACGTAAAAGCTAGATGAAAATTAATGCAGAGGGTAGCAGAAGAAAAGCTTTTATTCTTTGAGAATAATAGCAAAATGCATCATTTTGTTATTCTAGACAACTAAATATTTCCCTGTGTTTGCAAAAATCATGGCCTTCAGGGTGCTTTTTATCTTCCTCACATTGTGCTATGTGACTTTCTGGTTTTTTGCTTTGTTAGACATGAATCATGCATATATTTAATGTTGGTAACTGTTTAATGTAGCCATGACAAATATTGCTAGACTGCTTTTCTATACAGGCTTTGATAGATAATACTGGGGGGGAAAGCTTAGATGCAGATTGTGAAAATATCATAGTATAGCTACAATTGATGTAGATTCTTTAGGGTTGTTGTTGTTTAGTTGTGTCCGACTCTTCGTGACCCCATGGACGAGAGCACACCAGGCACTCCTGTCTTCCACTGCCTCCCGCAGTTTGGTCAAACTCATGCTGGTAGCTTCAAGAACACTGTCCAACCATCTCGTCCTCTGTCGTCCCCTTCTCCTTGTGCCCTCCATCTTTCCCAACATCAGGGTCTTTTCCAGGGAGTCTTCTCTTCTCATGAGGTGGCCAAAGTATTGGAGCCTCAGCTTCAGGATCTGTCCTTCCAGTGAGCACTCGGGGCTGATTTCCTTCAGAATGGATAGGTTTGATGTTCTAGCAGTCCATGGGACTCTCAAGAGTCTCCTCCAGCACCATAATTCAAAAGCATCAATTCTTCGGCGATCAGCCTTCTTTATGGTCCAGCTCTCACTTCCATACATCACTACTGGGAAAACCATGGCTTTAACTATACGGACCTTTGTTGGCAAGGTGATGTCTCTGCTTTTTGTTGGCAAGGTGTTGTCTCTTCTTTAGGGTTAGTGAGGGCAAAAAAGGAGAAATTTAATCCACACAAGATAGGGGTGTGATTAATTAAGAAGACTATTGTACTGGATAAAAGATTGCAACTGGTCCTGGATGGGGCTGCCCTTCCCTCAAAGAGCCAAGTTTGCCTGGGACTTCCTCAGGTTTGGGTAGTGTCAGCATCAACCAACTTCAGCTTGGTCGACAGTTACAACCCTATCTGGTGAAAGTAATCCTGGCCACAGTCATGCATGGACTGGTTATTTCCAGCCTACTGCAATGCTTTGTAAATAAGACCGCTGTTGAACAAAGTTTGAAATCTTCAAGTAGGTACAGAAGGGCACTTGTGGGGTCTCGTGCTTTGTGCATGTAATAGCAGCCCTGCATCAGTTGCATTGGTTATCCCTTTGCTTCCAAGCTCAATTCAAAGTTCTGGTTGTAACTTATTACAGTTTATTTTAAAGGGCTCCCAACACCAGGTTCTACAGGCCTCTCTATCTAGTCCCAGGAAATGCACCCTCTCCCCAGACTTTGCCCTTTACTGATTTCCATGGCACATGCATTTACCTGACTGTAATGAGTCGATGAAATCTGATAAAGCCTCTTGCTAGTCTGGAACTTCCTCTCCTGCTAACTTTGTTTGGCTCCCTCACTTCAGAATTATAAAGAAACCCTAAAGACTCTTTGATTTTCTAATCTTCGGATTGGTCTGTTGCTGGCTTGAATTTTGCTGCCATTTAGCTATTCATATTCTATTGCGTTATTTTAAATTTTTTTATTTTACGCTGCCTTGGGATGGCTTATTCTGAAAGACAGCAGGTAGATAATGTAAATGAATACATAAACAAACAAATGTTTGGTAGCATGAGAGTGATACCTACATTTATACATATAGAATATACGTGCTTGAGTTCAACTGGACAGTAGATTGTGAACTTGGCAAGTGTGCGATAAAGGGTTCTTCAAAGGAAACATTTGCAGTGATGGTTAGATAAAGAGAAAATTTATCAGATAGGTGGAAAACACAAGAAACTCCATGTATGGGGACTGGGAAAACGTTATCAAGGTATTCACTGAGGCCACAATCTTGAGGGCAGATTTTGCACTTTAGATCCTATAAACTTAAACTGAATTTAAATAGCAAAAGCCAACTCGCCCCCCTCCCCGGGGGGAGCAATAATAGGAGAAGTAGTATCACCATTGTCCTCCCACTTTTTAAACTAAAAAAATGCATAAAACTCCAAGGAAACTCACAAATCCAAAAGCATATTAAAACATGGAATAAAACAGAAGTTACATGTGCAAAACAGAAACATAAAACAGTAACTTACTTGAAAAGTATAAAGGCAGACATGCCAGCAGAACACAAGCAGAGCATTGCCTCAAGCTCAGCATCTTCTAAAGGCTCTCTAGAAAAAGTGCCAAGAGAAAGGAGAGTTTCCCAAGAAGAGAGTTCCTTATGGCACTGCTGCCAAAAAGGCCCTATCCTAGGTACCCAGTAGGGACTGCAGACAGCAGAGGGTCTCTGAAGATCTGAAAGTATAGGTAGGTTCATGCAGAATTCCAAGGAGTGTACGTGCTGTAAGGGCCAATTAGTAGCATTTCCCAGGGACTGCAAGGGTGACTTCCTCATATGCAGTGTGTTTCGGGGTAATTCAAACCAAAGTAAGGAATCAAGAATAGAAAAAAAAACCTGAGGTTGAGCTTGTAGGATTGGAAGCCTTACCAGGGCATGTAGTTGCATTCTGCTAACAAGGGTATAAAAATACAGAACTTTTTAAGGCGAGCAGTTTAGCACTATTTGCTCCCCAGTAACATACTGTGGTGCACCTGCTCCTGTTTGTGGTTAGCTGCTGGATTTGGAGATTGGGCAGTGTCTTGATAAGGGAAAGGCATAGACTATATTTTATTTTTGTCCCTGCGTGTTATCATTCACTTCTAACACCATGAAAAATGAATTTGAATCAATATGAATAGTAGTTCTTCACGCATGCTTTTAGTTTTTGTCTTGACTGAAACAATTGTGACCTGAAATTGCTATTAGAAACCAAACGAAACCTGATCTTATTTCCCCTCCTTCTGATTTTTAAAGGTGAGAATGCAAGAGGAGGCAGCTTTTCTGAACAAAAGAATGATCAGTCAAATGGGGATGCCACCAGTTCCCGAGAGTTCCAACACCCCACTTCCTCCATTTCAAGATACGGTGTGCAACTTGCAGCAAAGGACAGAGCCGTCTGTAGGGCACCAGGCAAAGGACAGCCTCAACCTAGCTACCCCGGGAGATGGTTCAGTCGATGCTATCTACAAAGCAGTGGTAGATGCTGCAAGCAAGGGGATGCAAGTAGTTATCACCACCGCAGTGAACAGTACAACACAAATGAGCCCCATTCCAGCCCTGAGTGCCATGAGTGCCTTCACAGCCTCAATTGGTGACCCATTAAATCTTTCTAGTGCGGTCAGTGCAGTAATCCACGGAAGAAACGTTGGCATTTCTGATCATGAAGGTAGGGCAAGGAACACGAGGGGGGCACGAATATTGAAGAATTCAGAACACCTTAAAAATTCCAGTGAGGGGGAGGGCTTGGAATACTATAAAACAACAGGTTGCAACACACCCAAAAAACAATGGGAAGGGGAACAAAGCCCTGGAGGGGAAATGAACAGATGGAAGTGTGAGGAATTTTTAGACCATTCATCATCCCATATCCACAGCAGTCCTTGCCATGAAAGACCTAATAATGTCTCCACACTGCCATTAGTTCAAGGCAAGCAGCATCCAATACTGTTACCCCAGCGAAATTGTCAAAGTGATAAGATGTTGGAGGAGAACTTCAGGTATAGCAATTACAAAAGAACTATGATGAGTTTTAAAGAAAGACTAGAGAACACTGTGGAACGATGTGCACACATGAATGGAAACAGGCCTCAGCAAAGCAGAGGTTTTGGAGAGTTGCTGAATGCTTCTAAACAAGACCTGGCAGTGGAGGAGCAGTCTCCAAGTTCCTCCAATAGCTTTGAAAGTTCTCTAGTTAAAGACTACATCCATTATAATGGGGACTTCAATGCCAAAAGCATTAATGGGTGTGTGCCTAGTCCTTCAGATGCTAAAAGCATTAGTAGTGAAGATGACCTAAGGAATCCTGAATCCCCTTCTTCAAATGAGTTGCTACATTACAGGCCAAGGACGTTTAACGTTGGGGACTTGGTCTGGGGCCAAATAAAAGGACTGACTTCATGGCCTGGTAAACTAGTAAGAGAAGATGATATTCACAACTCATGTCAACAAAGCACTGAGGATGGGAAGGTATATTTATACATGCATTTATTTTATCTTATTAGTAACAAATGTGTCTCTTACACAATATTTTAATTGCTTTCTGTTGCTTTTTGAAAAGATATTATTGCTTATACCCTTTAATGTGCTGATGGAGTTTTCATTCCTATTTCATGACTACAATCGCAAAGGGGCAGGGTTGCTTTTCTCTCCTACTTGTGAACCTTACAGATAGCTTGGGGAAAGGACCAATTTACTTTTTTAAAATACACAAAATGCATTCTGACAACTTACACTGTTGATGCCTTTTAAATATGAATTTATGATAGATTTATTTAATTCCCCGAAGTTGTAAAAATTTGTACAACATTCACATTTATTATCATGCATGGTAATTTAAAGGTAGGGACATGGGTGGCACTGTGGTCTAAACCACTGAGCCTAGGGCTTGCCGATCAGGAGGTCGGCGGTTCGAATCCCCGCGGCGGGGTGAGCTCCCGTTGCTCTGTCCCATCTCCTGCCAACCTAGCAGTTTGAAAGCACGTCAAAGTGCAAGTAGATAAATAGGTACCAGCGGGAAGGTAAACGGCGTTTCCATGCGCTGCTCTGGTTCACCAGAAGCAGCTTAGTCATGCTGGCCACATGACCCAGAAGCTGTACGCCTGCTCCCTCGGCCAATAAAGCGAGATGAGCGCCGCAACCCCAGAGTCCTCCGTGACTGACTTAACGGTCAGGGGTACCTTTACCTTTTAATGTAAAGGTAGTTATAATCAACTTTAAAGCAGTTGGTCCCTTACCTTTCCCGACCCAGACCTGGCCACAGTGATCCATGCGACGGTCATCTCCAGGCTTGACTACTGTAATTTGCTCTACGCGGGGCTGCCCTTGAAGCTGTCCCAGAAACTCCAGTGGGTACAGAATGCTGCAGCGAGGCTCCTCACGGGGTCTTTGCCATGGGAGCATATTCATCCAGTGCTTTTCAAGCTGCACTGGCTCCCGGTGGAGTACAGGGTCAGATTTAAGGTGCTGCTTTTGACCTTTAAAGCCCTTCACGGCCTAGGACCCTCGTACCTACGGAACCGCCTCTCCTGGTATGCCCCACGGAGAGCCTCAGGGTCCATAAATAGCAACACCCTAGTGGTCCCAGGCCCTAAGGAAGTTAGATTAGCTTCAACCAGAGCCAGGGCCTTTTCAACTCTGGCTCCAGCCTGGTGGAACGCTCTGCCTCATGAGACCAGGGCCCTGCAGGATCTGATTTCTTTCCGCAGGGCCTGTAAGACAGAGTTGTTCCGCCTGGCCTTTGGCTTGGAGCCAATTTGATTCCCTCCCTCTCTTTCTTTTTTTCTTTTCCTTCTCCTCCTGCGAGGAGGCTACATATTAATATTTTAATGTTTCAATATTTTAATGTATTTTAATTTTGCTTTTAAGTTGTAATCATTCAGCTTGTTTTTATTATTTCTTGTAAGCCGCTCTGAGCCCAGCCTTGGCTGCGGAGGGCGGGGTATAAATAAAAATTATTATTATTATTAACAGATGGGAAATGCAGCTTCTCAAACAAAACAAAAATATCAGCCCGCTAGCTTGTGTAGGAACATTTATTAGTAGATCTTGTGACTACTTTAACAGCAGCCACATTGTGTTACTCTTAATTTATGACTTGTTAAATTAATGGAAGTTTAATGGATTTTTGATTTTAAAACCTTTATACCAAGCGGTAATTCCAGGAAGTTCATTATAATTTTAGGACATTCTGTGCATTTATTGTTTTTTCCAAATAATTTTTTGGAGGAGAATCATATCAGTTCAGATCCAATAGAAGTATGCAGTAAAAATATTTTTAATAAAGGAAAATAAAACTGAATGTTATTAGAGATAGTGCTAAGGTGATTTCTTTTAAAAAAAAACACCACCATTGATAACTTTGACTTCCATTGACAATTGTAACGTATATTTTATATTCTTTGTAAACTGCTTGAGTTTTTATTTACAATTAAGCAGTATACAAATTCAGATAAATAAATGAAATAAATTTAATATTGGCCAGGAACTCTAGAACAGTTCGCTGCATGCATGTTCATCATGATGACCTGTATTAAATGATGACATCTCTTGTGAATTATAAATTGGCTGTCATAAGTTAATTTCCAGAGCTAGAAAATGGGGTTCTGTGCCAGCTGTAAGCATCTTTGGAATCTCTTAGATCTTGAGTCAAAAAGCTGCTTTCCCTGTACTTCTCATCAAAGGACTATTTCACTCTGTATGAGATAAGATATAAGTACTATGCTCTGGAGAACCTTTTTTCAGGGATTAAAAATTGTCATACTATAAGATTTACTAATGCAAAATGAATTAGTATCCCAGATTCATATCTTCAGATAATCTCTTCAGCATGATCGTTCTATGCTGAGCTTTAATATAGCTGATATTATATCTGTTCTGGTTAACTTCAGATAGGCAATACTAACATCAGCATGGGATCCACAGTTATAGATTCCATACAGTGGGGACACTGCTAGAGTGACAGCATTATGGTATTGATCAGCAAATGCCTATATTTATCCTTTTGGAATCCTCAGATCAGTTAAAAAGGATATGGAACACCAAATGCTCTACCACTGCCATATCACAAATGCTGTGATACATACTGATGTAAAGTTAATTGGCCACTCCAAGTTCTTACATCATGCAAACGTTCAAGATAAAGGCTTTAGGTTTCAGTCCTGTTGTTCAATTGAAGCTCATAGCAGGAGTTTTGTTGTTGTAATGGTTCAGTTGACTTTATGCATTCATACAATGTATAAATTTGCTATTATTGATACAAAAAGATAATTGTCTATTTAAGTGTGTGTGTGTTTTGTTTAAAAGAAAAAAACACCAAAGATGCAACAATGAAGATAAACTAATAGAATTTATTTCAGATTTTAAATGTTAATTTCATTGATTGGGTTGGTGAAATGAACTGTGAAGTTCTTGAATACCATCTGAAAAACAAAGTTATCTACACATAATAATTATAATGTCATTTGTACATACGGCTGCACAAAACAAAGAAATCATGCTTTTACAAAGTTCAATTAGAAACGGAATTGACTTGAGCCATCTGGTGCTGAAATCTATAATTTTTATTCCTTATTTCACAACAGCTGAACTCTCTTTAGTGTTGCCCAATTTGTAGTTTTTGTTGTTAATTACAGTGGACTAAATTGTATAGTGGAATATTAGTACCAAAACAAAATGTGTTGCTTTAATAATCAATCAAAGATTAAGCATAATTGTTTTACAAACCACCTCATTCACTTGCCATTTAAATTGTGTAGACAGGTAAATCTTATCCAGGACTTTAGCTGATACGGTGCAAACCTTGATTGTTTCCACTAAAGTTAAAGTAACATTAAATCTGAGGCAAGTAAGTTGGGACTTCAGTTGCATTAACCCTAAACTACCTGATGATGTTGCACTAAGTGCCATGGTTAATCTTTTCCTTCCATCCTGCTCTGAAAAATGCCCTTTTATAATTTTCCTGTGTGACTTTGGGACTTTTTGCCAAAAAACAGCACAATATTAGGCAGTTGCTGCTATTCCTGCTGCCACCACTACCCTGATAAAACACATATCACGAGAGTTGTAAGCCAAGATGTTCTCTTGGTTTGAGCTAGTCCTTAGCTCATGCAGTGCAGGACCTAGATGAAAGAAATGTTGTTACTAATATGAATTTTTAAACGTTCATGTGTAGATTTGGCACTTTACAATTGCAAAATCATCCACATACAGAACAGATTTTTCATATGTAAATATAGCTATGTAAGGGGTTTTATATGTGACTCATACCTGTGAGTAATGTTCATGCACTTTTTTGCATGTGTGCCAATTGGTTTGCATTCTATAGGACACTTTTACTGTGACTGTATTGTTCACCTTCAAGAAGCCCAGAAGAATTATAGAATTGTATTGTATAGAATTGTAGAGTTGGAAGGTATCACAAGGGTCATCTAGTCCAGTCCCATGCAATGCAGGAATCTTTTTGCCCAGCATGGGGCTCAAACCCACAACCCTGAGATTAAGAGTCTCGTGCTCTACTGACTGAGGCCTTCCTTGCTGTCCATGCCAGGTGGGCTTTAGTCAGTGTTGAAGTTTATTATTTTTGTTTCTATAATGTATCTGAAGGTGTCTCTGTTGTTGCCTTGAATAACTGAGTTTAAAAAGCAGATGAATGTTATGGAGACAGAAACCCATGGGATCATAGACTGTAAGACTGTGTATCTATCTGCAAATCATTATTTAATAACTGGATGCCTGAGTGAAGAATAGTTGTCTTCACTTGCTCTCACACAAATGACCAGCAAGTGGTAAATATAGTTAAGAACCGTGATACAAAGTTGTAAGAAAACTCTGAAAACCCTGAAAATGACTGACTTGGTGTTCATGTCTTTACTCAGGTGGAGCCTGATAAGTTGAAGACACTAACAGAAGGTCTGGAAGCCTACAACCATGTCAGAAAGAGGAATAGAAAGTAAGTATTCTATATATATGAAGAGTGGATTCCAGCATAGCACTAAGTCTTACATTCCATCAGTGCCCAATGAAATGTTCTCCCACCTGGTGCACCCACTAATCCTGTCCTAGAGGTTTTTCCCCAACCTCCAGAGCAGATTTGGAGAGGGTGTAGGTCACACGTGGGGAGACGGAAGAGGGCAAGTCTTATTGCACAAGCAGAAATTCTAGCACTAATAGGATGGGTTCACTTTATCCTAGAGATAAATGACACTCTTTACAAAGACTGAAGTTAATTTGAAAGAAGAATTGTAGTTTTTGGTGTGCTTACAGCTTCCATACGCATGCACACACACCAATTAGGAGTCAGTTGGGCTTGGAAGAAGATGAGACAACACAAGCCATTGCCTCTTTGCCCATCTTCCTTCTCTTCTCCTCTCTCTCTCTCTCTCTCTCTCTCTCCCCCTCCCCCCACTCAGTCACTAGCCAATCTGAGCTGGGGAAGTTCCTTCCTAATCCCAAAGATGGCAATTAGCCAAGCCCATCCATAGAGCTTGCCAGAGATCATGAAATTAACATGCTCCCTGATGAGCTAACAAGCTGATTAGTGTATCCCGTTAGTAATTACCACACTGAAAAGTAGACCACAGCTTTAAAGCCACTATGCATCTTGTAGAGAGGGAAAAACGATACACCTTAACAGATTAAAAAGCAATGAGCAGGTGAGCAATTAAGTGAGCAGCCTGCAGAGAGGGCACATCAGTCAGAGGAGAAGCAATTAACACCCTTTTTAGTTTAGCTAAGCACAAACACCCCCTTTCAAATGTAGCACCACACAAGCAGCCAGGCAGGGGGCGGGGGGGGGGGAGAGCTGAGACATTTATTTGAACACATGCAGTAATTAGACAAGAGGTACACCAAAATAAAATGTAGGCCACACAAATATGTTGTTTATATAAGGATAATATTTGAAGTTAAGCAAATTTTAGTTTTGGCTCTTTTCGCATCAATTCTGCGTACATTGTATAGGGCACAAAGGAAAGTACTATATCTGCATGAATACAAAAACGATACTGCTACCAGTTCTAACTTCTGTCAATATTACTGTTTGCCTGTTACTGTAACGTTATAGCAAAATGATTTATATTTGTTAACTCTGGGGTACCTTAGGAAGCCTTTTATAAATAAAATTCACTATTTGAATTTTGTTTCATCTAATCTTTTCTTATATCTATTAAATTCAAGGCAATCGCTTCCCCAAATTCACAGGCAACCATTGCCAGGTAGGGCTGCACCATAGGAAAATAGTTCTCTACCACACAGGAGGGAAGTGGGAAGCTTACTGTGCATTCTGGTAACGGAAGGGGCTGTTGAGCTATATCAGAAGGCGCTTTCTGACTGGGCCATGCTTTTAGGCCAGCCACACAGACTTCTTGTCTGCACCTTATCTCATGATGTGATGTTTTCCTTGTAGGGAGAGATGAACAATGCCTTGCTTTTAGTTTTGATCTCATTGCAGGTTCCTCTACAATCATCAGTTGGGGGTGCAGACAATGAAGATTGGTAGGGACACCTGTAACTGCTCAGGAGATTCTGTTTAAGATTCTCTCAAGACAGTGCACCCACAAAGGCATTATGGCTCAAAGGGACCAATGTATTTCCTGGGCAAAGGCAGACCATGGTTACATGTCCACAGCCAGCCAAACACATCTAACCTAAAACAAAGTGGGGGCGGGGGAACATCCCATATTCCTTGCTACTTTATTTTCATCACATAATCCAATTGTGTTTGAGTGAATCTGAAACTTCTCTGCCGCAAAGACATGCAGTCATTTCATGCAAACATGTAAGTCTTTGACCATTCTAGAAAGAGGTGTATTCTGCACCTGTAATATCTAATCATATTATCACTTCCTCCGGTTTCTCTGAAGAGTCCTTAACATTTCAGTCCTTTTTGTGTACAGACCACTTGGATAAAAGTGCAATATAAATGATGCAGACAAGATTAAATGTTTGCCGGCCAGTTTTCTTCTGGCCAACGTGTGGTCACGGTGTGGTTGATGGGTGAATTCTGAAGAAAATGACACATATAGCACGACAGCTATGAAACTAAAACAAGGCATTTGTATAGTATGCAAAGTTGCATGTTAAGCAATTTGAAAAATTCTGAAAAACATCTAGAATCATTGGTTAGCTTAATTACTGTATGCTGCCTTGCAAAAGCCACCCAGTTATCTGTTTCTTTCAGTAATCAAGGGCCAAGACAGACAAGATTGATTTGCTTCCTGGATACAACATATATGTAGAAAATTGAATAGACTCTGCATATGCCATAATGTGTCTGTTTAATCTCTGTTGCAAAATGAACTTATATGTGTTTGTCACATCTGACAGTGTAAATGGAGTTTCCACTATGGATGCTATATGCACATAAGAAATTAATATTGTGCAAATGGCCTTAAAGTACATAAGCATATATGGAACCCTAAGATCCATAAAAGCCATAGATATCATGGAATATTCTGTAATTAGACTGAAGGTAGAAGACACACTGTAGACGCTTTCTTCATATTGCACTCTCCAGCTATGGAATAAATGCAGTGTTGTTCAGTTTGGGACTCAGGTAAAGCAAGCCATTGTTAAATTCTGCAGCAGCCTGGTGATTCTTTAAAGCAGCCTAAATAGTTGAAGCATGCCTTTGTGAGAGGCAATTTTTTTGGCGCACATACTGATTGCACATAGCTAAGTTAAAAAGAAAGATACATTATCCTCTTGATACCTGCTGCTTTGTGTCTCTCTCTCTCTCTCTCTCTCTTTCTCTCTCTCCCCACCACGACAACCAGTGCTTTCTTCAAACATCCACTTGAGCATTTTAGTAAAAATGTGATAATGCCATGCTCTGCTTTTGAGCAACGTGTTCTTTGTTGTGCGGTTTGTCATTTTAAAAGAAACACCTTTAAAAGAGGCAAACTAAAATACTGATTGCCCCATAAAGTTAATTTGCAATTCATGTAGAAAAAAAGATTGATTTTATGCCTAGGTGTTTAGTGTATGCAGTTTTTTTAAGTTACACTTTCCTTTTTTTGTTTTTATGCTTTTTGAGGCATAGGCTGCATTTAAACTGCTATATTGTATATAATGGATGGTCTCCCATGGCTCAAAATCTGAGTAGAATGTTATTTCAGTTTGCAGTATATGTCTTTAAATTACATATTTTTAAACGGCATATTCTACTACAAAAATCATGGGCATTCCTGTAATTTTTTTCCTTTGTTTTAATCCTAGAAGTGGGAAGCTAAATAATCATTTAGAAGCTGCTATACATGAGGCCATGAATGAACTTGACAAAATGTCTGGGAATGTGAGTACCAACTACAAAATATATAACTTATTTAAAGCAGCCAGGGGTGGGGGGTGATTCTAACAAAATGATGGCTCTATTTTTGCAACTGAAGCTAAATCCTACAATTAGAGAGCCATTATAATTTCAGCAGACCCAGAGAACTAGAAGCTACCATAGATTATTCCTAGCATATGATATGAAGACATGAGACTTGATAAAGTTTTCTAAAGCCAAGCAGGTCTGCATCTGTCAGTGCCTGGATGGGAAACCTCATGGGAACCTAACATACACCACCTTGAGTTCCAAAATGGAAGAAAGGTGGGATATATGAATGTAAGAAAGCAAACGAATAAATAAAATGGGACCTTTTAATGACATCTCTTAAGTCTGGAACCACAGGCCTCATACTCAAGGTCCCTTATAGTGCAATCGAGTGCGTGTCTATCAAGAAGGAAGTTCCTTTGAGTTCAATAAGGCTTAATCGCAGGTAAGTAAGTAAAGAATTGCAACTTGCAATATGCGTAATAAATTATCAGTGGGCCTCAGTCTAGCACACTTCCTCTTGGCTTGCATACAAATTGTTTGACTTCATCACTCCTACAGTAGGGAAGGGATACACATTTAAAGTCGAAAGGGGTGTGGTGGTAACACCATTCAGGGCAGACTCTTAACGTTACCTAGCTGCATCACTGTAGGCAGCTCACTGTCATTCTGTATCCCCACCTCTACTATGGGAATAATTACTTGGGTCTAATGGAGCTCTGCACAAGCATGAAAATGCTTCTATTTCCCAACTTGGGGTGGGTGCTGATTTCTCCTGACCTCCTATCTGTAGCTTTAGTCCACCTACTACCAAAATCTGAAACACTATTCTTGGCAGGGGGAAGCCAGAAAACCCCATTTCATGAATGCAGGTCGTTTATAGGATCTAACCCAATAATAAAGCCTTACATAGTTGTTTATAAGGATTACGGAGATGACGTATATGGGCTGCTTTGAACACAATGAAAAAAATACTCTATAAATAACAAGTATTTCATTATTGTTAACTGGCTTCCAGCATTTTCATTGTTGTTGTTACCTTTGTGCTTTTTTCAGGTGCACCAAATTCCACAGGGAGACAGACAGCTGAAGCCTCCAAAACCCAAGAGGAGGAAGATCTCTAGATAACATTGAATGTCTTTGTTACTGGTCCAGTACTTATTTAAAAACAACAACATGCACATATATATATAATATCAGGATGGATAGAGTTCATCACCACAGGGTGCTAAACAAAACAGTGGTACAGTATTCTTATTGGTAAAGAAGGAGAAGTTAATCCAGATCTTCAAAAGATTACAGTGTGTGTATAGAACCCTTTTTTCTATAATACTAAAATTGTGATTATAAGAAATAGTCCAAATGTTTCTGCAAAATTTTCATTGTGTATATAGATAAAACAGAATTTCATGACGATATCTCAAATGTAAATAATGTACAATATTGTCATGTACAAGCGTACCTAATGCACACTTTATCTTTTATTGTACAAAAAAATAGTGTACAAAATTCTTTGGTTTCTATTGAGTACACATACAAGAGACTACCAGTGTAAAGTGATAAATAAAAATACAGCCTAAATGCTTTTATATAATAATGTAAAAGATGCTGTTTTTGTATTTAACAGCAGTTGAAAAGGCATGATTATGTAATACCTTAATTATGACATAACACTTCTCGCCACTGAGTGTTCATTTATAGTGTCTGTTTGGAATGAACCTTGCCTGGAAGTGTGCTGTACTCCATTTAAGGTCTCTGTAGGAGAGTGCAACCTTGCAGATTCCTAAAGGGATGTGGGATTGCAGGTCAAATTAAGAAGTCAAACACTGCAACTGCTGGTTGCATTTTTATTATTATTTGCCTGAGTTTTAAAGTAGAATGCTGTAGATTTTTTTATTAAGAATATTTAGATAGAATATTTTTAGTCCGCTATTGCTTTAACAGAGTTTCATAGCCACCTGTTTTTAAAATCAAGTTCATTTTATACCACCATTTCTTTTGAACCCCTTCATAGCCTAAATTGGCTAGCCCAATATTTTGAAACGGGGGACATGATTGATTTTAATGTATGGGAGCAATAGCCCAGTTTTAAGAACCATGCTCATTGCTAATTTTGTTAATTGTCAGACCTTACAGTTCAGAAAAAAGTGTTCCTAAAATTAAAGAAGAACTTTCAGTGGCCAGTTGTGCCTGGGTGTTTTTATGGAGTTCAGTGGGACTCTCTCAGCACAAGTGGTCACTGAATCACCCTACTGATGATACTGATGCCCACTGGCCAGTATTAATATTCTAGTTCTGAAAGGTGGCTTACAAAACTACTAGCAGCACTGGCCAGGATCCAAAGAACTGCAGAACTAGTTCTGTGCACCCAACGGGCCTGTGTTTCTTGAACAGAAAATCTCCTTCCCAACCATATGGGTAGCAAACCACTTCTGAACCTGAGTGGACTTACAAAAACAGTTTATGATACAGCGTGGGGTCTCTGGTTAAAAGGATATTTGTGTCAAAAAGAATCCAGCTAGGCACACCCAAATCTTGGGATGTACCTTAAAGGTAGCTCTTTGGATCCCAGCCAATGATTTTATCAGTATTATGTAACATATCAGATTTATTTTATTTAATAAGAATTATTTATACCATTAACAGATTCTTATATATATATAAATTTATATGAATTTATATATATATATTTATATATATACATATAAATGTGGCAGAAATGTGCAGGTTGAATCTATTAACCAGATTATTTATGTTATGTTAAGTTTGAAAGAAATGTGAAGCGTGCGTTAGAAAGCTGATCATACACTACACAAACCTAAAGCTGCGAGGCATTCTCAAAATACCAGTATCTTTAAAAGAAAGTGTAACGCAGTGTCACTTACAGTGTTGATGCTGCGTGTGGCAGCAGTGGCCCTCCCCTTCTCCCCAGCCAGCCCAAAACATATTCTCTGTTTGCCATGCCTGGGCCCAAGATGGAGTCCTTAGGACCACCTTCTACCTCTTCATCTGGGAAGCCACCATTGTGTTTTATTCTGGAACTTCGTTCCTTATAATGGCCTAGTTGCCTCTCCTAGCAAAGACGTAATCGGCACCATCCATGGCTGGTAACCAAAATCTAGTGCTTACACAAGGAGTATTCATTCCCTGCCCACATCACCTACTCCATTTTCCTATGTGACATGAGCCCCATTAGCCCCAGAGGGATCTGAGGGAGCAACATGCCCATGGTCCCCTCTCCTGTGCCAACGCACACAGCACTACCCCTGGGCTAGAGGACTTGCTCTTATCACATGTGGACCCAGCCCTTCTCCCTTTTTGCCACACCCCAACCCGAGGGAATGCAATTAGCTACACTAAGCTACAGTGGCCTGGAGACAGAAACCCTTCCTTCTGCTGGGTAGGTTCATTTTGTCTTTTGTGTAATGGCAGGGCGGCCTGCCATAATCCTACATGAAATCTCATGTGAAGTGATCTTTTGTGTAGTTTAGTTAGCACTCTCTTTTTTTTTTTTTTTTTTGTTACGAGTTGATGTGTTTGTTATGTTTAAAGAGTTAATGTCCATTTTTCGTACCAGCCTGCTTTCTGCTCTCGTCTAAACAGATGTTTCTATTCATGAATACTCATGTGTGTGTGTGTATGTTTGGGTGAGTGGGTGTATGTTTATATTTAGTTCTCTCCCCCCCCGAGTTATTTTTTTTTGTCCCCAAAACTGAATTTGTATTGACCAACCCTTCTTTTGACATTTTTAACTAATTAGGTTTGTACTTTTCTCACCAATGTATACTTTACATTAGTAGACTATGTAAAGTATTTTTGTGCACTTGATTTCATTGGTTAATATTGGCATTGATGTGGGTGCTAGGAATAGTTTGTTTCAGTCCATATAGATTTTTTTCCTTCCTCTTTAGAGTTTTTATGGTTTTATGTAAGCAGTTAATGTAAATATTGTGAGCATTACAGGTCATGCAGTGTTGTAACATTTTAAAAAATGTTGCACCTACTTTACAATTAAAACGCTGGTCACTCGTACTTGAATTTTGCCCATAGAGCCATTTCTTTCTCTTTGCATTGAAGCATAAATTACTTTTTTTATTGAGGCCCAACCCTTCTTTCTACGCTTATTTTTTTTTTGTTTAACAAATCTATATTTTTCTAACAGAAGATTTTAACATTTAATTTTTTTTTTTGCCAACTTTCTAACTTATGATGAGATACTCCTATATTTAGAGAGTGAGAAAATACCCTCATTTTGGAAAGTGGAATAATTGAATTCTGCAACTTAGCCCAATGACAGAAATCACAAGTGGGACACTAAAGTTGGGCCCCAGAAGATTAATTAGCCTCTCATTAGATCGATTAGTGGATGTTTGTGTGGTGTTTTGAGGATATAAAGTGGTAACTATCCTCATGTGTCTATTTATTTATTTATTCTTGGTGGGTTGTGATAAAATTATATAAAAATCAAAGGAATTATTCTTCTTTCTATCATGGAGCTTTATGAACACCATATAATTATTTCTATTTATGAAAAGGGTTTAGTTCCTAAAACCAATTATTTAGTGATTGCTGACAGTAGTTATGAAAATAATATCTAAAGGGGAAAGTTAATACATGTCCCATATCAGTTATGGCCACAGCCTAAGTTTGGGGTTTTGATTTATAGTTTTATATTTAAATTTACCAATGCCATTGTGCATACAACTTGCTAATAACGCAATATTACTGTGGATTCCCTGAATATTAATGGTATAAAGTATCATGGTGGACTGAATTACCTTTTATTAGCTACAGTTTGTATTTTGCTACATAGGGTTTTTAATATGAATATTCCAGAAGAGCAGTAGCATAAGAATGCTTTTCTATTTTAAAAGAACCCCATTCTAGTCTTACTAAGAGTTAGATTTTTTTAAAAAGAAACAATATCAGTTTTGTAAAAATTTGATAAAATTGTCAATATTATGATTAAATCACACAAAAAGCCTCACTGTTATGTTCTCTTCCGGAAGGGGGCCATGTCTGCACAACACCAGTCTGGGAGGGGGTACATGTCCCTGACTTAAAATGGGGTGTATGTTGTACTATTTAAAAAAACACACATAAAATTAACACTGAGTTAAATATATAAATCCTCAGATAATTTGCTTATGATAGAAAATCTGGGACACAACACTCAGTTCTCCTGTTGTGTCCAGATGTTAATAAAGATGTCAACTCATGAAATACTGTATCCAGCAGGTCCATTTAGAAATAAGATTGCATGATGGCTGTATATTCTGCACTGGTCATCTGTAGTTAAAACAGAGAATTCTCAATTAATTCCCCTGCGACTGGGTGTATATTTGTGAGGATCACAGTTGTCTTGAAACTGATCAAAAAAACCCAAACGCATTATTTTGTATCTGCGATCCATTGCATCCTACACATTTTAGGCATTTTACAAACCTGTGCATCCTACACATTTTAAGAACCTGTTACTTTGACAGCTAATACTTAATCAATGAAGCTGTGCAGCAAGAATGGTAGTTACATTTTACTTGATTGGATAATAGGTCCATTCAATTTAGCACCAACAGTGACCCACCAGATACCCACAGGAAGCTCACAGGACTTGATGGAAAGTCCTGTTGGTCCCTGATCTAGCATGTTTCACCTTCTGATGTTCCATCTTTAAGCTTTTTTTTGGGGGGGGGGGAATTACAGCCATTGAAAAATAAATCTTCCGTGAATTGGTCTAATACTCTTTTTAAAAAGCCATATAAGCCAGCACCACATCTTTTGGCAACAAATTATGTGCTACTTGAAGAAATACCGGTACTTATTTTTGCTTGTCCTTAATCCATTTTGTTCAGTGACCCCCTGTTCTAGTATTTTGATGCTGTAGGGGCAGGGAGACACATTCTAGAATTGGAAATAATTGTACTAGTTTAATATATCTTGAGTTTTGAAATGGTTGACTAACCCCATTCTACCTAACCTTAAAGGTTTTTGCCAATCCTGATGTTGTATCAAAAGGTGTTGATAAGCAGAAACTCCTATCCCAATGTCCATTGCCTCCATAATCCTGGATATATCCTTACCCAAAACACTGGCATCAGCCATGCTACAAAGTTTGTCATTACTCACTGAGAAAAAGGAGGACTTCTAAATGCAAAACTAAAAAACTAAGTTATTTATTTCTCATTAAAACATCCATGGAAAGCATATGAAGCTTTTGATGTCACTAATTAAAATGGATTTGCTTTCCAATTGTACAGATGAAAAACACAAGAAAGTGAGATCTAGCTACCTTTTCCCTCTCAATTAATTGGGGGTGGGGGGAGAGATCAGGTGGATTTTATTATAAGCCACAGTAATCTACTGCTGTGTTTTGAATTTATGGTGTAACTTATTAGATAAGAAAGCAATAAAGAAAGAGGTCATAAATACAAAATGGATAAAAGGAAAACTGCAATGTGCAAGTTTGCCAAAGATTCATTCTCAAGTTCATATCACTCAATTATAGACACCACAGGACTGAAAAAATTAAGCTGTGCCAATACACGTTATCCAGATGTTTTGGTTCTAGTTCATCCCTCCACCCTCTACAAATGGACATAATCTTCCTCATTCACTTTAAGGTTGAGAACATGTTTGAAATTCACATTCAGTACTTTCCCAATAATGAAGTAAATGAAGAAAGCCGTACTCACAAATGAACTCAGCATAGAGTTCAATAGATTTCAATTGGGCTGAATGTCTCCTGGAATGAATTTCATATCCCAACAACGAGTTGCAGATCTTTTTGAACTACTGGTGTACATAAGATTCCTTTTTATCCAGGTGTTCTGGAATTCCAGAACCAGAGTGAACTGGCAATGCAGAAGATAAATGTCTTCATTCTCTTCCAACTCAATCTTGTCATGATGCTTCGTGGCATTACTGGATGGTGTCTAAATAACTGCAGGTAAGTTATTTGAAGGTTATAGAAACAAAAATTCTGTTTGACTAGAGAGTTTCTTAGCTGGTTAGTTGCCTACTTGACATGCCTTTTTGTTCCTAATTGCAAGGGTTCCAACCTCCAGCATCAGGATTATAAACTACATGGACCCTTATTGCTGCTGGAACTCCTGTTCCAGTCCTAATGACCAAAATAATAGGGAATGCAAGGTGATTGACCCCTTAACAAAAGCATCGATTGACTTGGCCTGAGACCAGCTCCATGGGACAACTTTGATCAGAGGCACTCGGCACAGACCCTCTGGAATGCCGTAAATGAGTGTTACGGTATCCCATCAGCCTATCTCCCAGTGGCATATTATTATTATTTTTTAAAATAAGTTTTTATTAATTTTCCATAAGTAAAAGAGAAAACATAGTAAAAACATAGGTAAACACAAAAACGACTTCCCCATACCACCCCTTTTCTGCATTCATATTTCAAGATTTTCCAGCAACCCTTTCGTATTAAACTTATTTCTATTTCATAAATTTATCTTCCATAAAATAATAAAACAACTGTAGTTCTTTATCTCTTATTACCCTGGTCTTCTAATTTTCCAAATTACAACAGTTTTTAAGATAAACTTTAAATTTGTTCCAGTCTTCATCCACCGCCTCTTTCCCCCGGTCTCGGATTCTGCCAGTCATCTCTGCCAGTCCCATATAATCAATCACCTTCGTCTGCCATTCTTCCAACGTGGGTAGATCTTGTGTCTTCCAATACTTTGCTAGAAGAATTCTTGCTGCTGTTGTAGCATACATAAAAAATGTCCTCTCCTTCTTTGGCACCATTTGGCCCACCATACCCAGGAGAAAGGCTTCTGGCTTTTTATTAAAGGTTCTCTTCAGAACTTTTTTAATTTCATTATAGATCATTTCCCAGAAAGCCTTAATCCTCGGGCAGGTCCACCAAAGGTGATAGAAGGTTCCCTCCGTTTTGTTACACTTCCAACACTTGTTATTGGGCAGATGATAGATCTTTGCTAACTTAGCCGGAGTCATGTACCACCTGTAGATCATTTTCATAATGTTTTCTCTTAAGGCATTACATGCCGTAAATTTAACACCAGTGGTCCATAACTGCTCCCAGTCAGCAAGCTCAATGTCATGCCCTATATCCTGTGCCCATTTAATCATGCTGGATTTCACCATTTCATCTTGAGTATTCCATTTCAACAGCAAGTTGTACATTCTTGACAAGTTTTTAGAATTGGGTTCTAACAGTTCTGTTTCTAGTTTTGACTTCTCCACTTGGAAGCCTTTCTTTCTGTCCTGTTTAAATACTTCATTTATCTGTCGATAATGTAGCCAATCTCTCACCTTAAACTTCAGATTCTCGAAACTCTGCAATTTTACTTTTTCACCATCTTGTTCTATCATTTCAAAATATTTAGGCCAATTAGAGCCCATATTCAATTTTTTCACCTCATTTGCCTCCATTGGTGACAGCCACCTAGGGGTTCTGCTTTCAAGCAAATCTTTATACCTTATCCAAACATTATACAGAGCTTTCCTCACCATATGGTTCTTAAAGCCTTTATGCACTTTTACCTTGTCATACCATATATATGCATGCCAACCAAATCTGTTATCAAACCCTTCAAGATCCAAAATGTCTGTATTCTCGAGGAGCAGCCAGTCTTTCAGCCAGCAAAACGCTGCTGATTCATAGTAAAGTCTTAAGTCCGGCAGGGCAAAACCTCCTCTATCTTTTGCATCTGTTAATGTCTTAAATTTTATTCTTGGCTTTTTGCCCTGCCAAACAAATTTCGATATGTCTTTCTGCCACCTCTTGAAACAGTCCATCTTGTCTATTATTTGTAATGTCTGAAACAGGAATAACATTCTAGGCAATACATTCATTTTAATAACAGCAATTCTGCCTAACAAGGAAAGTTTCAGCCTTGACCATATGTCTAAATCTTTCTTAACTTCTGTCCAACATTTATCATAATTGTCCTTAAATAAGTTCACATTTTTCGCTGTCAAGTTCACCCCCAAGTACTTCACCTTTTTTGCTATCTCCAAACCTGTTTCATTCTGGAATGTCTCTTTTTCCTCATTTGTTAGGTTTTTCTCCAGCACTTTAGTTTTTTGTTTATTCAGTTTAAATCCTGCAACCTGACCAAATATCTCAATCAATTCTAAAACTCTTTTTGTGCTAGTGTTTGGCTGCTGTAAAGTCAGAACTAGGTCATCTGCAAATGCCCTCAGTTTATACTCTTTCGCTCCGACCTGAATTCCTTTAACCAACTGATCCTTTCTAATCATATTTAACAGAACTTCCAGGACCAGTATGAAAAGTAGAGGGGAAATAGGGCATCCCTGTCGTGTTCCTTTCTCTATAGCTATCTCTTCCGTTACCACATTATTCACAATCAGCTTTGCCTTCTGCTCAGAGTATATTGCACCTATACCATTTTCAA